ATCACCGATATCCGTCGGTCAATTCTCGCGATTACCGGGTAAAATGTTGACGCGCATCGTGTAAAAACTGACATTTTAATGATTCCGTCCGACTTTCCTCCTGGAGAAAAGAATCGTCCTTTGTGCGCCAGTAGAGCCCGCTTGGAATATAACGATCCAGATGTAAGAAGATTCCCCGTCAAACGGATTCGCGCGCGATCGCACGGACAAAGTAACGCGATAATAGCCCTCGCCTTTGCGAGCGCACACCTTGTCGTTAACTAAAACCCAACGCCGTATTTTTCGAGCCGCAAATAGGATTACCGGCATCGTTCGGTGACCGTGACGATGATATGCCGCGGTCAAAGTGCAAAAGGAAGGCGAGCTTAATGGAACAGGCCAGCCGCAGGCCGGACGGTATACAGTTAGTGCAGTTTTTAAGGACGGAAATGCTTTTACCGCGACGGTCGTCTTTTAGCCGGCACTTGCCGTAATCCACTTGCAAAAATGCAGCATGCCGAGGTTAAAGCTGGCCGGCCGTTCGGTCGGCTTTACGCCGAAAATAGCGTTTCGGCGCAACGACGTCGGGGGTACTTCCGCAAATTGCCTGAAAAAATTCCGGAGCAGAAGTGGCCGCGATGCATTCATCGGAGTTATTCGAGAGAGAAAAAAGACGCAACAGAACGGTAACAAAAAGCTCCTCGTCCGCGCTCATATAATCAATAGGGGGATCGGTCGCACTCGAAGCGCGCGATCCTGAAGCCCGCTCTGCACAAGGTATCATCGATGTAATTTTCTCTTTATTTAATATATCAAAAAAATCACACAGTTATATATATTCCCGGAATCCGTATCTAAAATTTCGCACAAAACCGACGCGTTTTGCGAGGCTCCGGAATCGAACCTTTGTTAATTGTTTAAAATACGAGTGGCCCGTTTCCGGAATTATTAAACGAGGGAGGCTTTAAAATACCATCTGAAATCGCTTTGATAATTATTTTTAATAATCACAAGGGAGGCGCGGATTTTCCGCGTTTTGAGGCCGGTTTCAAGGCGCAAAGTGAGAAGCCTCGTACACGCTCAAACGGTTAATCCATCCGAGCGGCGTATGGATCCCATCCGTTGCCGCCGACTTTGAGTAGACGGCGAGGCGGATCGATCGTCGAGTATCTGCGGACGTCAATCTACCACCCTTCGCAAACTTATTCCGGGCTTCCATTCGTGGCCTATGGAGTGCGGTAGATTTCGCGTGAACGCGCGAATCGACACGGGTATTCGATCGATCCCGTTGAGCCGTTTATCGTCCGTGCAGCCGTTAACTTCGCCGCCACACGTTCGCGCACACATTAGCGGGCTCCAATATAGATGGAAACTAATGAAACACGAACTACCAACGGAATAATGCGTCGAAATAATACTCTCTTTTTCTTTTAATCCACCCCCTGGACGTGTTGCGCGATTGAAAAGAGATCCCGAGGAATCGTCCGATTTTCGTCCAACTCGCCGACAGGCAGTGTCGTAACCAAATGTGTCACGAATGCAAACAAAGTGAATTCATATCTACGAGTTATGCCATCTAATGTGACGTACCTTTACTACTCCCCTTCCTACCAGCAAGCTAATAGACCTCCCTCCTCCTTTGACGTAATTGTTGAATGGCCCGAGACATCGACTTGCTGTTCTTATAACCGATGGTCTGTATACTTTGTTCCGTTAGCTAAGATGAATGTCCCAATTTATCACAGACAATTGCGTCTGTTCCTTTGAAATAATATGACTTCATATTTATCTTGAAAGAAAAATTACTTTAAATTTTATATATTATCCGTTACGATATGTTAGAATGAAATTAAAATCCATAATGAATGCTGAAATATCATAATTATATGCATGTTTCTGACGATGACAGTTCAAACACTCGCTCGGCATCTTTGAAATCAATATAAACTCTTCTTCCTTGATTAGTTCATTTTTCCGTAACATTACGTAAGGAAGGATCAATCGAGCCGAGTAACGAGCTGTCCTCTCCCCTCTTGCCTGCCCCGCTAAAACGGTTAAAGTGGCTCTTGTAAAACTGTACGGTCCCCTGCGGGACTTGTGTCGATAAGATAGCGTTGCTTCGATATCCCTTTAAGACCCGTCCGTTCTCATCCCGGCATCTTCCTAAGATCGCTATCCTCCGAGGAAATATCCTCTCCTTCCGGGATACTCCGTAAAACGCTTCATCTTCATTCGCTCCCCGTGTACCGGAACGAAGGAGAGCCGGACAGATGGGATAGTTAGTGCGATCGCTGAGCAAAAGAACATTCCCGCCCGCGATCGACCGACCGTAGTCGCGGCAAGGCAGAGGCGTCGTCTGTAAACGTCAGCATCGATCACAACGACGGTGACGACGGCGAATCGCCGCTGCTTTCTAATCGATCCTCTCGAGACGTAAAATCAGTCGCGAACGGGAAACCAACGAGAGATTTTCTGCGGCAAATATTCGATCAATCGTAATCGTTAGCCCAATAAATACCGATTTATCGTGCCAGGAAAGAAGTATACATCGCAAAGAGTTACTTGGCAACCGAGTGGACTCCGGCTTAATTCACCGTAAACGTTAGCAGATTTTCGGCCGATACCGTAGGAACGAAGAGATCGATCTGATCAAAGGGGGAGAGAGGTTCCCCTCCCGAAATAATCCCGGGTGAAAGAAGCTACCTCCTCCGTCGATGGATCAGGGAGTGAAGCTTTTCGATGTTTAATTAACGTCGACCGGATAAGCTCCGTTACAAGAAAGCTCGACCGATCGCCGGATAATCGGAGAGAGAGAGCTTCGTGGAAGACCTTTCCAGAGGATATATCTCGATGGGAGTCCGTTGGGCTCGATGGACGAGCTCTTCAGTCGGGATTTAATTTTGACTCGGCTTTATCTCCGCGTCGATCCTGGATTTATAGTGATTAATTCGCTCGGCTTGCTGTTGATAGAAATTAAAGCGGCCAGCTCGCTCCTGTGCCTTCCTTCCTATCGCGATAATTATTTTTTTTCCGATGGTCGGGAGAATGAAGGAAGCATTGTCTAAAAATCTGTAATAATCCGATTATAACCCCGGGGTGGTCGCGAATTTAGAAAGATCGCCTTTACGACCGACACATCGTCGCGACGTTAATATATTCACGGTGCTGTTGATCTCTCTAATAGGCTTCGTCATCAATTTTTATTTCGAGCAGTTTGCTGTTAAAATTGTGGGATTTGGAGTAAATAAGACGCCTTCTCGTATGTTATCTGTCAAATGAATACATTCAGTTTTTATTAATCACATAATCCGCATTGAAGCTTATATCCCCCAAGTTGCCACCGATCTTCATTCGCAGCGTTCACACCGCCGGCAATTATGTAATTCGCGATATTCAATTTATAAAATTCGTATTTCACGACGCAATACTGCCACGCCAGACACGCGAGTGATTAATTATCGTAACACCCAATTCTACCGTTGCGTGCATGCACGTCCCGTTCATACGACGTACGTTCGCTCGAAAATAACATTTCGACCGACGAAACATTATCTTGATTGGCAGGTATAAAGGTGGGTCGAAATTTAACGGGTGATTGAAATTATATCGCTCACTGCCAGGATTTTCTGGGGTTTCGAGGCGCGCTGAAACGAGAGTCTTCGAATTTCGTGGTGGCTGTGGGCAGCGGCGCGTTCGGACTTGCGTAATCCATGTTTAGAACCGGGCGGATCGGATTCCTCGCGAATTCCAATTTCGCTCTACTTCATTACTTCCCATCCCGCTCGCCTCGCAGATGCTCGACGGTATTCAGCGTACAGAGCGTCCCAGAAGCCACTGAATCCCTCGCTGCTCAGCGGATTCTACGTATAAAATTTTGCGCTTTCCGAATGACCGGCCTCTATATTTCGACATCTCATGTGTGATTAATTTCGACTCACGTTTGAATAAATCGTTTCCCTTGGTTCGTCTTACGTTCGAGGAGATTCTCTCGATGATACTACTAGAGCGACTGGTATATTTATGAAACGAAACAGCGCGCACGTCGCTATCTAAAGCCACGCTTGTCGCGCGAAGATCAGCGGGAGAATCTCTATGCAGAGCGGCGGCGAAGCTTTCGTGTTAAGTCAACGTCGACGTCATCATGGTTTCGCGTTTACCTTATCGGCGAGGTATCGCGTCAAAACTATTACCGCGATAAAGCCGTTATTAACACGAGGCGAAAAGAAGAAACGACGCACGCGAGGTCACGGAAGCGGACCGTGAATGGACTTTTGCGCGATATATTTCATTGTCGTACTGATGAGCGTTATCGCGAAACGGCGATTTATTTATTTAATCGATCAGACCGGTTTGGAAGAGATGATTTTTGTCTTCAGTGACTTTGGTTCTTCAAAATTACGGTAACAAAAAAAAATTGAGGAAGTTAATCAATTAATACAAAGCTAAATCAAAACTACTACTAACTGTTAGAAAGAAAAGAATCTAAATTTAACAAAGTATTTACTAGAATTACGTAATACTTCTTAAAGAAATGCAGCGATTTTAATTTTTCCTGTCCAGTAAATATTTTCCAATAAGAAATTCTGATATTCTCAATATTACGAATTGCGAAGTAACAATTTTATTTGGATCGAGTGAAATATTGAACATTTGAACGGTAGCACTTTTCTTCAATGTACTCTCACGCTTCGAGGATATTCAAGGTGATAATAGTTATTGCCTGTATATTTACCGCAACGTCGAGCTTCGCTTGCCGAGCCGTGGAACAAATCATGGCGATCACCGTGTCAGTCGACGTGTTAAATCGGAAAAGAAGATCCCTCCCCCGGCATTCATCAAGCGGCGACTTCGTTGCTATACAATAGCGGTAATAACACACGTGTGATATTATACGTGCGTTATCCCCGACGATATAGCGGGCGGAATTTATGTCTTCGGCGGCGTTCTCGTTTTATTAACCATGAGGCAATATCCGGGCTGAGCCGCGAAATTTCTCACGGCTGTTTACTTCTCTGTTGCAGCCGTCGTGGATGCGAAGCCGGGAATATTGGGACGACAGTTTCGAGGCACGTTTCGCCGAGCTGCGGAAGGATCCGACGAGGCCGCCCTTGAAGGTAAGCCGATTAATAGTCGAAATATACGCAACTCGCGTGTGCGGTGACTCCAAAGTCGAATCGCCGCCAATAAAGAAACCTGACGTCGCCTCGCCTTGCGATCGCGCTCGGTCATTACGCTGAAAGCACGTATTTATGCGCGCACGTAACAGGCATTTAAGCTTGTCGTCGTAAATCTCTGAATGGCGACGACGTTTGTCGAGTCTAATCTCGGTGAAAGTTTCGACTATGTCGGGAACACGCGAGATAAATGCGCGATGTAATCAGACACGGATTAATATATTAATTTAATCAGTCCGCTGAAATCGTAACAACAGCAAGAACGATAGACTAATAAGTGCCGTCACTGAATGTTGCCTGCAAAATATCAAATCTTTCAGCGAGAGGATAAAGTTGTCTGACAGTGTAACGTATGCGCCAGGCTATTTTTTCTCGACGTGTAAAAATGAATGGTACTGTGCAGTAACCGATACCCTTTTAACCCGTAATTCGTGTTCTTATTAAATTAATATCCCTTTTCGATCTTATAGAAACTTATATCGTAAACACAATGAAAGGAATAAGGGACAAGGAATTAAATATGGAGGAATAAGATATTAGAAATAAACGAGAGTGTACGATCGTTTAAAAGTCGCGGAAAAGAAGGAGGGAAAATGAATTTCACATGAGTTACATAAACAGTTACATATAACACTTACGTTTCACTGTTTTCATATAAAAAACATTTTTTTAAAAATCAAATTGTAACTGGCAATGAAAACTGTAAATGAAAAATGGATATATTATAATAACGCTAAATGAAAAAAATCTTAAATGGAAACTCCTAATACAAATTCAGAAAATCGTACTTCTCGACGGCCAATTTTACTCGGACAAAAATTTTTCATCAGAAACGTCTTATGAGACAATCTTATAAATTATAACATTTTACTTCAGTGGGATCGATGCGTGGGCCTTAAAAGGTTAAGAGGTATTAATTTAGTACGAATATTAATTTCGGGTTAAGAGAATCGGTTCGACGTGATAACAATTAACTATACAATACCACTCGTACGTTTAGAAAAATAGCCTACACTGTCGAACAATTTTATCCCCCTGCTAAAATTTAATATTTCGCGATCAACATTCCACGATGACTTTTATTAGCCTATCTTCCTTACTGTTGTTTGGGGAATTTTCATATTTTTCTTTGTTACAAATAACGATCCCTTCTCGCGCGAATATTGTGAATTTATTACGCGGCGAGCGCGCACCGAAATTTCGCGTCTTTGCGCGCATTTATCGTTATTTTAACGACGCTGTTCCGAGGATAGTGCGCCGAAGGATCGCACACAATGACGCGTATTCCTGCAAGTGCACGAAGATTGCAGGGGGGAGGGAGGGATATTATCTTATAAAATTATCGGGCACACGTAAGACGATATAAACAGCGGAAACGTCTGGGGCGAATTCGAGCCATCTGTCCGCTCGTGCGAGAGCTCTTCACAGTGCTTTCACGTAGCCGTTAATGCGAGAGCGAAGATTTACGATGCCGGGGGAGTGTAAAAAGCTCGTCCGACGCGCCCGGGAAGAATCGTGAAATCGCGAAGGAGGAGGCTTTGTTTATGACGTTATAAAGCATTTCGATCTTTCGGGTTGCTTGCGATTTGCTTTCCGCGAGCGCCTGCTGGAATTTATGCGACTCTCCCAATCATTTCGTTTTTTTTTTTTTTTTTTTTTTTTTTTTTTTGATACCACTGCGCCCCCACTATCACCACCATCGCCCGGGCACTCAAATGTCGATTTAGTTGCGAAGATACAGAGTGCTCTTTTTTTATCGTATACGTCCCAGATCAACAGGGACTAACTTCGTGAGGACGTGGAGTGTATTGAGATGAACAAAAAAGTCCTCCCATTTTTGCAACCAATACGCAAAATTTCGAGTTATTAATTATTGAAAATAGTTATATACAGAGATCTTTCTTTAATTAATAAGTAAAAAGTTCCCTGTATATCTGGACAGCGCTCTTTTATCGACGCGATTTCTCCGATCAATAAAACCGAGATTAGAATAGAACGCACTCGTCAATGTTCGGTTGCTTGTATTGTAAGGCGACAAACTCGATGGTATTACGTAAAACTTAACGGCTCGCAGCATCGAGGGGATTATTGTGCAATAGAGTCGATCGGAACGTCAAAGTTGATGGGATAAAAGAGATATTTAAGAGCACCGATACACGCGTATCCGCCGGTGGAGAGATTCGCCGCGCGTAAGTAGTAAGACACTCCTCTGTTCAGCCGTGCGCGTGACTTCGATAGCGGGACGAGTTCTTCGCAGCGTGTGTTGTTCGAAGCTGCCCGTTGTGTACAGAGCATTATCGCGAACGAGCGTTTCGCATATAACGAAGTACTAATTAATGCCGCTCGTTAATTAAAAATAACAATGTGTCGTGCAAGGCCAAATGAGGTAATTGTAAACGTTCGGATAACGAGAGAGTTTTTAATGATAAAATTGATAATCGTCGAGAGATCATTGAGAATAACGAATGCTCGACGTATCGCCGCAAGATTAAAAAAGAGAGAGAGAGAGAGAGAGGAAAAAAGTGAAACTATTATCGCGTTTGCCAAAGAGCGTTAATTATTTGACCTCGCTCAGATTTACCGGCGAAACTCAGCGAAACGCGACGGCGCGAATATTAATATTCGATACCGGTTTATTCCCAACGTGACGTAATAAATCGTAAATTATTCAACATGCCCCGCGCGCGCGTCTGCGAAATTACGCGGCGGAAGTTTATCTGTTTACTTATTTACCGGCCGGAAACGCATCGACGCGTACTCGGAAAAGACTCTCGTGTACACTACGAGCGGCAGTAAATCCCACATGTTGCGGTTTTCGGGCAAACCTTTGTACGGTTCTCATTAACTATCGTCCCGACGGCCGTTTGCTCTTGACGAGGCAACTAACGGGATCGTTTGATCAAAGTTCGCGAACAACTCTCAATTATGACCCGACGATTGCAATTTTCTATTTTCGTTCGCTTTTCGCAAGCACACCCGCTTCTGATTGAACGCTGATGTTTGCCGACTTTGTAAAATTCTGGAGGCTCCTACTCTCGCGATTAATTATTTCACGTGTATATAAAATTACTCCTACTCTCTCAATTAATTATTTCACGTGAATATAAAATTGGAAATTGCTGAACATTATCGTAAAAATAATCATCATAACTGTCGATGATGATCAACGTAATTAAATTTATGAGTGATCTTCTTGACAATATTGTCCTCGAGCTTAATCTGAAAAAAAAAAAGAGAAACAGAAAAGAAAAGAAGAAAAAATTAATGAAGATAATAAACGATAGACGAAGAATTGGAAACGGACGATGAAGAAGAGTATCATGAATATCCTTTAAAAACGAATCGAACGTACTTAGATATGAGATCTTGCATACTTTATTATGCCGTGTTTCTCTCCGGATAAGCGCTCGGAGATATTATCGTTGCGTCGTGATAATATTACGCATTTTTTATAATTCATTTCTCCGGGAAATTCTTGTTTCCCGCGTCGCTGCTGTCACTCCCGAAGCGGCCATCAGTGCGATATGATAAATTAGCGCTCTTCTTGCGACATTAATATTTTTCCGCGATGGAATTACGCGGCCGTCCACGTTAACGTGGCGTCGCGCCAGGCGACGGGTAATTACGCGTAGAGAGAACGAGAATTCTTCCGACGACGACGTCGTCAACGGGTAATCGCGCGGAAAATCTGGAATATGTAAAATTCATCCGCGGCGGCGTTTCGATCCGGGGAGGTGAAGAAATAAGGCGTCCTCGAATGAATTCCGAACGCAAGCTCGTCACGCCGACGAAAACACCGGTTAACGCAAAAATTCTCTCCAAAACCGCATTCTCGAGAGATAGATATAAACAGAACGAATGAAAATTCGAAAGGGATACACAATTTATGATACGAAGCTCCTTGGAACTCGGTGAAATTGAATACGTAACGTAGAAAGTCGCGTTTGCCGCGATAAATAGTCGAACGGCGCGAGGCGTCCGACGAAAGGAGAATCGACGTCGCGTTATTATTTTTGCGCAGAAAGACGGGAATTCCGGTAATCACGAGCTTCTTCCTCGCGACCCGCCGAAAGGCGGCGCGCAATTGCTTTCTCCGCAGCTGCTTTATTTACTATTTTATTGGTAGACCCGAGTTCTCTCCCGAGTTGCTTCGCGTCCCTCGGAAGGGGAATTGCGTCGAGAGCGCGACGCAATATCCAAGCCAAGAATTTCAACGTCGCCGCTGGCGGAGAGAAGAAGCGTCCGTTTCCATCCTCTCCTCTGCGGGAGAACATCGACGCGAACGAGACGGATGCTGCACCGCGAAGACGAACATGGGCGTTTCTCTCCTTCGCTACCCTTTCGGCAGTTCGACGAGTTCGACAATGTCGGCTCATCAGTCTATTGTCGTGGCGATACAATAGCGGGCGGTGGCCCTTTGGAAAACGCGCGCGACAATGACGAGCGCGATTTCGGCAACGGAATGTGTTGCGCCGCGCTAGTCCACTCTCTCTCTCCTTCGGCCGTATTGCTGCGAGGGATTTGGCAGCGCCGCGGAAGGAAGCATATATCGCCGTCAGTTTATAGAAAAGCCGATTTCAAACCAGTTTCATCACCGAAATATCGCCAAGATCGTCCACTTGAAAAATTCTCTCTGCGTGTACGCTTCTTTGAAACTAAGTTAAGGCGCATCGACACCGCGTCTGCGAGGCGAAGCAAGCCAATTATGCCGATGTATCTAAGGCATTTGAGAGATTCGTTAACGAAGTTTCTCTCGCTTACATGTGCACTACCTTCTCTCCTTTAATGCGCCTCGCATGGGTACATTGTGAGCGAGCTACGGCGAACATGTCAATTTGTACGACATTATTCCCGCTTTCCCGACGTCACCAGACAAATATGGATGGACGCGATCGAGAAGAAGGAAGGGGACATGAGCGATTTCCTTTTCCCTCGTTTCT